AAGGGGACAGGCTGAGAGGAGGTGTGAAGTGAGAGAAGCCCGGGGAACATCGAGGTGGGACTCCCGAGGAGGCTGGCTACTCTGCTTGGCTGGTCTGGGGGCCTCTCACCCTGGAGTTTATTTAAGTCTCAGAGATCTTCCCCACCGCTCTCCCCCAACGTTTATTCGATCTAGCTGGCTCCCTTTCCGCTTCTCCAAATCTCCCTGCAGCACTCCTGGATGGCCAGGGTCATCTTGGTTGGTCTGGAATTGGGTGTTCCTTCGGGTCGCAGTAGAATAGACTTCCATTTTGGAAAATTCAGCTGTTGGTGTTTTAAAATCCACAGCTCTGTTTTGCTTCCATGTCTGCCAAGAAACCCTTTGATACAAGTGCTTTATATGAGCAACTTGACTTCTAACTTCTACCTTGAATCCACAACTGGGGGCAAAATGAAGTCAGTTTGTGAGTTGGAAGCAGGCGGAATCTTTGCCTCCCTGGACGACGCTGTTCTGTAACAAAGTCTACCAACTCAACTGAAGGCAGATCTTTTATTCTTATGAATACTGTCAGTGTTCTTCCCGGTTTCATTTTATTTTGAGGAGCAGAGTTTAATAATTAACCGCAAGTTAGTTCATTTGAATCCAGGGCCAATAGCCTCCTAAGTAGTGCTAATTGCACGGCATTTTTATTCGGAGGCTCCTCATTTTTAGCATAACAAAATCTCCCCTGGAATAGGTGGACTGAGCCCAAATTCATTTGTTTGGAAGGATGTTTGGAGCTTTTAACTGTGCTCAGTCCTCTGACTTTTTCTTCCAGTGAACTATTTCCACACCTCATTCCAGTTAGCAAAACACATTCTTCCATTCACAAGAAGGGCAGGCAGCACATGCAAGCTGGATGTGGGTTTAGGAGAGTGAAGTTTACACCTAAGGAAAAGTGTGTGGAGGGGGTGCACAGAACCCCGCTCTGGAATCAGTAATTGATGTCCCTTTACCAGCCTCACGCATCCACAGGACAACTCCGGTTCTCCCCTCGCTCAGCCCTCGGAAAAGGAAAAGAGACCCATACTGATGGTCAAGTCCTTTTTTTGTGTGCTATTTTTGTATTTTTTTGTGAGAATGACAGATTTTTTTTGTTAGTTTCCAAATATTCCTAACGATTTTCTGCTCAAGTGTAAGATAATGCAAAGAGTTTGTAGAAATGGCGGTGAGTAGTGGGGGAGGGGGTGGTGTGATAAACGGTTTGTTGCTCACGGGAGGGTAAAATATTTCTGCTCACTCTCCAAGCTGAGATTTTCCACGCCTCCCCTTAACTTTTCCTTCTTCTCCTTCTGTTTTTTGTTGGTTTGTTTTCCAAGGAAAGTCTGGTTTGGACGACGTTGTCTCCCAGTTTTCAAGGCTTTTCCTGTGATCCAAGTTTTCCTGTTTGGTGTTTGTTCAAAGGAAAGCCCCCCCCCCCCCATCCTGTCGCTTCTACAATAAATGTACTAGGCACTCACCACTTTCTAGTATAAATAACCAAGTGGCTTTAGGAGGGTATATATTTGGGAAACGCCTGCTGTGGTCCCATTAAATTTTCGTGGGGTGCCTGGACTTCGGTTTTCACTCCTCTCCGGTTGCCGGGGTCCTGCAGTCATTACTGGCACACAATTTCAATTGAAGGAGACAGGGAAGGTCTCCAAGTGCGCCAGCGCATCTTTCCTGATTTTTGTTTTTGTTTTTGTTTTTTTCCTGTGGCTTGCCTTCCTTTCTTCCTTCCTTGACCCGGTGGTCCCTCTTTCCCTTTGAGCCCGCTGCCCTTGAACTTGTTTCTTGAGGAAGGGAAAGCTTGCACAGCTTCTAATAAAGCCCAGGTGAGGACCAAGGTGCATCGAGGGCAGTGGCGGGGTCTCCACCACCGCGGACTGGACTGACACAGTGCCAGAACTAGGTACCAGGTAGAGACAGGGATCCCGGCGCCATGGACCAAGAGACGTTGGAGAGAGCACGGGGACCAGAAGACAGGCTGTAGGCAACCTCTCCGACGATGAAGAGAGGTTGAGAGTGGTGGGAAACGGAGGTGCATGCGGTCAAGGTCACGAGCTGGCGAGTTTTTGCTCTGCGTATCTTCCTTGGGACTCAGGAAGAGCATGTTCGTGGTGCCCGGAAACCGGGCAGTCAGCTGCGTCTTGCTCTGGGACTTGAGGTGGTGGGGATGGAAAGGCCGCCGTTCCCAGCAGTGACCGCCCTGAAGCACCCCAGAGCGGTGCACCGCTTTCTGGGAAGGGTGCCTCAGGGCAGATGCCAGCGGGAAGAGATTCTGGGGCCTGCGGGTCAGCGCCATCTCACCAGTGCCTGCTAGTGCATGCTGATGGGCACAGTGACCGCTGGCTGGGGTGTTTCCAGCCCAAGCCTCTACTGGCCATCAGCAACCAGTCCAGCTCCAGCTGAGCCACACTGTCACCCCTCCAAACTTGGCCTCAGCTGCCCGCTCCGTCAGTGTGCCCTGCGAGGTCTCCACCTCTTCCAGGGAAAAGGCAAATTGCCTGGGGCAGGAGGGACTTTGCATCTCCGTCCTGCGGATCCTACCCACCCCACCCACTGGGCCGCAGCACTGGCTGCCCCCAGCTTTCCTAGGAGCCATAGTCAGGGCTCCCTGGAGGGGAGTGGGAAGGGTTAACTTCGAATGGAGGATGGACTGGCAATTGGTCCCTGTTCCCCTGCCCTAAGATCACTTCCACCCTGGCGGCCTTCTCTCCTGGAGTTGGCTTTTCCAATGAATGAAGGGCAGTGAAACCCCCATCCTGGCTCTAGTGGGCTGGCCCTGGGAGGTCCAGAATCAAGATCTAAGGAGCTAGCTAGCCCTTTCCAGAAAGGTCAGAGCTGGAGAACTGTGTAAAGTTAAAGGGAAATCGATCCGAAGCTGAGCCAACCCCTTTTCCGAAAAGTAGAATATTGGCATTTCGGTATGGAAACTGATTTTCCCCACTTTTCATTACTGGGCTTTATCTGTGAGTACAGAAAGCAGAATTTACAGAGTTACTGAAGTCATGGTAAGCTGACTTCTGAGAGCTACTTGGCAGAAGAAACTGTTTCCGGCTTTCTTATTGAGATCTTTCTTTGTGGTAGAATACTTGTGAGGAACCGTTTGGAAGTCCAGGGCATTGCCTATGATAATAATGAAAGTGTGCCCCTACCCAGGACAGTTTAGGTTCATAAATTAAAAGTGAATACTTTTCATTTCTCTCCTACCATCTTTTCACTTTCTTACGGGAGGAAATGGCAATTTTGGGGTCCTTCTGTGCTAGAGTTCCCTCTTGACATTCTTAGAAGATGGAGATATTTTTGTTATGAGGTATACTGGGGTACAAAGAAAAGCTGGTAAAATACCGGCCTCACAGTTAACGTGAGCCTGGATACCAAAATGAAAGCAGTCATCTGCTATTAATCAGGCTGGGTCTCTGCTTCTTGTTGAGGAAAATACAGTGAGGGCTGGCTCCCCTTTTCATCTGCAAAGGCTGTAAAATGCCGAATGCTGCATAAAAATCGTTCTCCCCAGTTTTTGTTCAATTAATCAAAATGAGTATGTTCATGCTGGGCATAGTTACATCAGAGAGAAAATTTGCTTCGGTGTTTCAAACAGCCGGGGCAGTAACATGTCACATGGATGACCTTGCGTGTCCATCAATCTTTAATAATATCATTGTCATTATTATGATTATCTGAAGTGTTAAATTGTTGCCAGAATCGATACAAGTGTGTTTCTTCGGGTGTATTTTATCCCACTGCTGTTTTTAACATCTCTGTTAAGAGACCAATTAATTTCCAACTCAGAGCTCCAGTGAACTTTGTGTATGTTGAGGGCTTCCTGTCTTTTTTTTTTTTTTTTTTTTCCTCCTTATTTCGCCTTTTGAAAGAGGACAGAAGCAAGCGGCACAGGAAATGCAAATACATCACTTGCTGATTAAAGTAATATGAAATTATCCTTAAACTGTAGAAGAATAAAATCCGCCCAAACTCGAGTTAATACATGTTTGAATTCTTTTTTTCAGCTAAGCAGCAGGAATTATTCTCCCGAATTCTGTCAAGTCCCATAGTCTAGGAGCTCTTTCATACTCACTGGGATTAGAAAGGCCTTTTCCCTCTAAGCAGAATATGAAGGTCTTTAACAAAAAAGAATCTTGATACATCTGTTTGTTTTCTTCTAGATTCGTTGGTGTTAACGCGTCTGACATCAACTATTCTGCTGGCCGCTATGACCCATCCGTGAAGCCCCCCTTTGACATAGGTTTTGAAGGGATTGGTGAGGTGGTGGCCTTAGGCCTCTCTGCTAGCGCTAGGTACACAGTGGGCCAGGCTGTGGCTTATGTGGCTCCCGGTTCCTTTGCTGAGTATACAGTGGTGCCTGCTCACATTGCCACTCCCGTGCCTTCAGTGAAACCCGAGTATCTCACTCTGCTGGTTAGTGGCACCACTGCATACATCAGCCTTCAAGAGCTCGGAGAGCTGTCAGAAGGGAAGAAAGTTTTGGTTACCGCAGCCGCTGGGGGGACAGGCCAGTTTGCTGTGCAGCTTTCCAAGATAGCCAAATGCCATGTCATTGGAACCTGCTCATCGGATGGAAAGTTAGCTTTTCTGAAATCCATTGGGTGTGATCGCCCCATCAACTACAAAACAGAGCCTGTGGAGACAGTTCTGAAGCAGGAGTACCCTGAAGGTGTCGATGTAGTCTACGAGTCTGTTGGGGGAGCCATGTTTGACCTGGCGGTGGATGCCTTAGCCACCAAAGGGCGTCTGATGGTAATTGGGTTTATCTCTGGCTACCAAAGCCCTTCAGGTCTTTCACCAGTAAAAGCAGGAGCTCTGCCGGCCAAGCTCCTGAGGAAGTCTGCCAGTCTCCGGGGGTTCTTTCTGAACCACTATTTATCCAAGTACCAGGCCGCCATGGAACACTTGCTGGAGCTGTACACTCGTGGGGAACTGGTCTGTGAGGTGGACCTGGGACACCTGGCTCCAGAGGGGAGGTTCATCGGCCTGGACTCTATATTCCGGGCTGTTGACTATATGTACACTGGGAAAAATATTGGGAAACTTGTGGTGGAATTACCTCACAGTGTCAACAGTAAGCTATGACATCAATGACAAAGCAAAGGAATGTTCCATGCCTTAGGATGAACATAGTATTTCTTAAACAAAAGTGTAGTGCTAATGAGTTCTGCTCCCCACTTTCCTTGGGGGTGAAAATAACATGCCTCAATAAAAGTTCTCTCTATAGCTAAGAGGTAAAATGTTTACATTCGATTCTTTAGTCATGGACGGTCTCATTCCAGATTTTATTGTTCCAGGGAAGTAGATTAATTCCTGATGCGGGACCTGATCGAGTCAGTATGTCCCCGGCTTGATGAGTTTTTTAAATCAGTCTTCAAATAGCTCACCAAGTCTCCTTTGCTTTGGAAGCGGCTGCTCTTGTGTTAATAAGTACTTCACAGGTGAGCAAGTAATTCGGGTCAGCCTGGTATTCTTACAGTCCATATGCTTAGCGAGGAGCCCCAACTATCTAAATAGACATTTGGGAGAGAATTCTCCAAATTTAATCCTGTTAAGTGATTCAGCAAACAGATATGTCTTAATGACGCAGCTGCTATTTGGTGACTTGAATTCACATCCTGGTAAGATTCTCTGTGAAGAAAATGTTCCTGTTCCAAGAAGAAATTACTCTTAGAAACAGAGTGGGTTTTGGAAAAGAAAGCTATGGTTTAGGGAGACTTTGTGAAAAAATTACTGTGTACAGAGGAAGAAGAAAATTCTGTGCTACCTCCTCAGGAGAGGCTCAGGTAATACAGTAACAGGGATCACAGAAGGGGGCTCACTCTAGCAGGTGAAAGGTTAAAAACAGCTCACTTCCTGTCCCCAAACACGGTAAGCACCCAGGTCTTCTAAAATCATAACCGTTTGCTTCTCCTCAAAGGCTTGACGCAGAAGGCTTGGTCTCTGGTGGGGGAACGGCAGTCAGGTACCCTGTGTTCCCGTTTTGCTTCTCAGTGTGGAGAGAAAGGAGCTACCTGCTCTAGGCTATGTACTGGTGCAGTCCTGTCCATCAACCTACATGCTGCTTCTCTTCAAACTGCCCTTCACCTTTGGTGTCCAAAGGCTGCCTGCCACTTTTGTCATGGAATCAAAACCCCACAGTGCCTTTCTAACCGAAGGTGAAGCCTGTCTGATTATTTTTCAGTCTTGGGTTTCAGTACATCAAACGTGCTCAATGAATGGGAATGTAATTAAGAGTGCTTTGTGAAAGTTGGGGGCCAGATTTAATTCTTCCCTTGCATCTGAGAAGCAGAGAGACCCTGTTTCCGAGTAGCTGTTAGTATCTATTTTACAAGATTTACTCATTTCCAGGTACCTAATGTAGCTGCTAGCATGCATGCACAACAATACAATTTATATGGTAAATGGAACCAAATAATGGCTTCACTGAATGTTATGGCCGCACTGAAGGGAAATGTCACGGTAAATAGCTGCCGAGTTATGGATCATGCCGGAGTGTCAGAACCGCACTAAAGACAAATAGCACTAGAGGCTATTGCCACTGTGACGCTTTTGAGTTATGAAGAAGGGTATCAGCCTGACGCGAGGCTCTTTGTGTCCTCGTCATAGCGAAGAAGGGCTGCTGGTGCAGGGAACTAGAAAGGCTTATCCAGTGTGGTGCCTAGTTATTCATCTGTCCCTTTCAGACCTAGCCACTGTAGCAGGAGAGACTTGGCCGGCTCTTCCGTATACAAACATAACAAACGGAGGGCGGGCAGGTTTTATGAATGTTAGTATGCTCAGGAAATGACTGGTAATGGAAAAATGTTGTAATAAAATAATCTAATCAAAGACTATTATTAAATTTAACGTAGTATATGTCTGAAAGGCTCAGTTGCTTCCTATGCAGATAGATGTGTGAAATCTCAGTGATAATGCACTCTCCCTCTGAAAAGGCTGGAGGACTGAGGACATTACCAACTAAATTGCCTCTTCTAAACTGAAGTGAGTCCCGGTTTCCTTCATTTTAATGGGAGGGTAATAAAGATGAAAGACCAACATTTTATCTGATGGATCCCTTAAGCTATGGAATAAAAATGTATTATGTTTTGAGGGAATATACTAAATTCAGCTATGTAAAAGTAAAATTCAAACACCCAGGTTTAAAATAAAACAACATTAAAAAAAAGAAGAAGAAGAAACATGTCTTTCCGTCCCCAAACAGAGAAACTATGGTACATGCTGTTTTCATTTATTCTTAGAAAACAAGCATGAATGATTCTGCTCATTCCAATAATCCCAAAAATACATTTAAAAGTTTTTTTTAATTCTTTTGAAAAATGATTTTTAAATGTAGGGTTCTAATGGAATATTAGTTTGGTCCCCTCGAGTTGTTGTCCAGGTCCAGTCACTAACGGGAGGTGAGATGGTGTAAGGGTCCACACTCTGCCGTGGTCCACATCACAAAAAGTGCATTCCTAATTCAGGGCCATTGTCAGCTTGCCCTAGGGAAGACTTGGGGGCAGAGCAGTGATGTGGGATAAATCAATCCTCAGTTCTTGGTGTAAGGCCATTGACCCAGCCGGGAAAAAGGCATTGCCTCCTGAGAAAGACACCTCTAGGATTCCTTAGTCAGGAGTTCTAAAAAGTCAACTGCTACCCCTTCTAACCTGTTTTGAATGCACAAAAGCACAGACAATATAATTTCTGGTCCTTTTCACAATGACTGCAGATGCTGATTGATTTCAGCACTAAACAACAACAACAAAAAAAAAACCCTAGGAACTGGTTTGCAAAGAGAGATCGGTTCTATGTGTTGTTATGGTTTAACTGCACCAGAATGGAGTTTATCAGGAATGGAATGGAGCCTCTGTAGATGGTCATTAGTATTTCCTTCGGTGTTTATCTAATGCAAGTGTGTGAGAAGTAGCTGCAGCTTATTAAAGTGAAACCCTATGCTGTGTGTAGAGGAGTGCCGCAGCTAATGAGGCTAGAATGTCCCAGCACCACGAAAACCTTCTTTTTGTGTCCCCGCCGCCACAAGATGCTGGAAACTTGACAGATGATATTATTTAAGACACTGCCTGCCTTAGGGACTTGCTTCTTGGCTTCCTGTTTTGGGCTTTTATTTGGGTAACATTTATAATGTCCACCTGACTTGTACCTGTAATATTTTAACCCCTTGTGGAACTTACAGGCTGCATACATTTACCAGTGAAGGTTCCCTTTAAAATGAGGCTTTGTGCAAAGGAACAACATGCTTTTCTTGATGATTTTACCACATGTTCACATGGGGTAAATACCATATTTCAGATCCTGTGAACTCAGACCAGCAACGTTCAGCTTTCAGAATAAATTTGATAAGACCTAGGACTGTCCACTTGGAATGCTAATTTCCTGAGCTCTACAAATTTTATGGGACCACTCACATGCAAAATGGCCTGATTTGATGAATGTATACTTACTCATCTATAATTCCCATACTCTTAAAAATATTGTACTTATAATATTCATTTAAAATGCATATGCAAACTATTGATTTTTCGGTTGGGGTTTTTTGTTTGAGGACTTTTTGTTCTGTTTTGGTTTTTATTTGGACAGCTTCTGTAACCAGTTCTCCCACAGTAGCCTAGAATCCAGTATTTAAGACCACAGCACAGAAGCTATAGGTCAGAGATCAATTGTCAATAGCCCAACACTGCTGTGAACCTGAAATTCTGTGTTCTCAAGCCTTTTCACACCACACTATTTCAACTCAGAAGGAGGAATGTTCACTGTGAGAACCTTACTACTGTTACCTTGAGCAATCTAGGAGAGGTTGATCCCACCCCTGCCCCCTAAAAATACCATAATACACAACACAAAATAATGTCTTACCGGTGTATGTCAGTTCAAGAAGTTCATGTAGCAAAGAGCTGATATGAAAAAAAAAAGTCAAGTAAGGTGCATATTTTGATTATGTAAACCTGGAGCTTCTGTTTAATTCTTCACTGTGACCTAGCAGCCAGTGAGGCATGCCCGGCGTAAGTACCAGGCAGTGTTTATTTGGATATGCTGGCTTTACCCTTTGTAGGCTGTCCCTTCTGTTTGGTCCCCCATCCCAGGAGGTATGGATGAACTGAGGAAACATATCCTGGGTCCCACAAGCAGTAGGGTAAGTGCTGTACAGAGGACAGTTTGGGGGAAAACCAATATGTTCTTCATGTGTGCTGAGAAGCCCTGAGCCAGAAGTCTGGAGATCTGAATAGCCCCCCAAAGGAAGTGCTTCCCTCAAAGTATCTTTCTGCCAACACAAAATTAAAATAATAATTAGAACATACCCTGCTGCTGGGTGGCAGCATCCAGTCCAAAAGACAGATCTGTGCTAAGGGCTCTCAGAAGAGAGTCTGGTGACATTGCCTGCTGACGTGGTGCCCACCCTGTAAGCACACACAGCAGTCGGGGTCAGAGTGAGCGCTCTCAGCAGTTCCTTTGGTCACTGGAAGGTGAAGAAATATAGAAGTGATCCAGGATGTCTCACTCACTGAAAGCACGTGACCCAGGACCCTCTATGCCAACCCCCACGTTCCTTGCAGGCTCACAGGTGCCACTTCCAGCAGAAACACAGATCTGGAAAGTGTGTCTTCCTCTGGCTTTTATAAATAAGACCAAATGTTACTTGGTGACACTAGAGTTTGAAGAATAATCTAGCTCTACCCACTTCATAAATGTCCAGCTGGGCCTAGAAGGAATGGGCACTTTGTCCAGCCAACATCACAGTGTCCACCGGACTCGGAAGATAGAACTCAGATGGATCACCACCCAGACTGTCAGGAGAGTTCTGCACAGACCCCTTTGCCATCGGCCAGGGTCCTTCAGTGTATAACTGACAGGTTATACCACGGCTGGATTTTGTGAAGAACTTATACATGAATGGGACTATGGCAAACCCAGGGAAAGTATCACATTTAGACTTTGGTAGAGTTGGGGCGCTATCAATTTGGTTTATCATCTAAACATCATTCTAGGGTTGAAGAAGTAGCTCAGTGAGCCAAGGACCTGCCTTGCAAGCATGAAGACCCGAGTTTGCTCTCCAGAGCATTTGTAAGAAGTCACACATGCTGGTGCACGGTTGTAACCCTAGCGCTGGGGAGGCGGACGTTGGAGGGTCTCGGGGACTAGCTGACCAAATAGCCGGCCTAATCAGTAACCCAGGGCCCACTAAGAGACCCTGTCTCAGAACACAAGGTGGAGGTCTCTTGAGGACTGAAATCTGAGGTTGGCCTCTGGCCTCCACAGGCATAGACACACATATACACACACAGAGGCACTCACATGTACACACACGTACCTTCCAAATCACACACAACTTAAAAATAATAAGTATCACACACTTTCGTTTTTAATCACTAAAAGAAGGTCTCCTGCCAACGTGTCCTTAAATACCAATATTGCCAGATATAAACTGTATACTATTTACTGGACAGAATGAATTTGATGCTCACTTTTGCCCATCAGAAACATCATAACTGGACACCAGAATATTTGCTGTTGTAGCATAAGATCTAAAATTTGAATTTTCTATTCTAACTGAAATCCAATTTTTCACCTTACAAGTTCAGCCCATGAGGGGGGGCACATCCCCTCACTGGGTAGCAGCAGTTGTGAAGTGAGGTAGTGAAGAGAGGAGACCCCAGTGCGTACAGGCTTCCTGCTAGGCTGTGGCGAGAACCTCACACAGATCATAAGTAAGTCTAAGTGGGGGATGGCTGTTCCGAAGCACATGACATTGAACATTCATGTCTTTCCTCATCATTCCTGTCTTTCTTCCCTCAAACTCATGCATAACAAGCGTAAACTTTCAACTTTACCCGAGCAAATCCTTTCCCAGCAGAAGCAGTTTCTTTTTACCATTGAAAAGCCACTTCCCGAGAACAGCAACAATGTCAGCAGCAATCACGTTTGTTGGAAGCCTCATTGCTCACCAGGGGATGGGAGCAGTGGTGTTCCCTCTACATGTGGCTGGAATTTACATTTGGAAATTGAATTGTCTCCTTGAGGGCTTTTATTCAATGCAAGTTTTGGGGAATTACTTACACCCCAGTACATCAGTGTATATGGAATGAAGCTGAGTTGAAGGGGCCCCCTCATCACTTCAGCTGTTAAAAACAAAACAAAACCAAGTCTTCATTGTCCAGAAGTCAAAATTAAAGAATCATTTAATATTCATCATATCAAGATTGACATATCTTTAGGCATCTGGGGACTTACATGTTTTACATATTTGAATACTATCTTCACAATGGTATAGATGCTGATGTGTCAACCCCACATCCACCTTAAAAACGGGATGGTTAGAACACACACTTTATGACGGCTCATGTCATCCCTACCTGACTTGAGACAGTCATCAGACTAAGGCCAAACCTGTTTTTCTCCAGAGTGGCGTTTTTTCTCATGTTGAAATATGCACACATGTCACCCGCTAAAATGATAGTCCAGACTCAGTAGTACAGGGTGGACATAGGAACTTGCGTCTCCCACAGAGACACCGACACCGCCGGTCTGGGAACCAAACTGTGACTATTGAAGTGCTCAGTTACAGTCTGCAGAGACCTCCATCCCACAACTACAACCATGAAAGCGGTTGCCCTCTACTATTACATTTCCAACTTCCTCAAAGGAGCATCCCCTCGGAAACTCACCTGTGAACCCAGATTCAGTCCGATCCTCACAGTACTCTGACAGCTTTTCCATACAGTCTACAAGGGACACAGTCCTGGGACCTCCATCCATAGTTGTCCTGTTCTTAAAGTTGAATCCATTGTCACAGCTAAGCCCTCTATCCCCTGACCTGGGACCACCAGTTATACTTCAGTCCTTACACAGTAGCACCAAATAAAAATGCCAGCAGCCCCCTGCACATTCTGTGGAGCATAGTATTTTACGAGCTGATGCAAGGACACCAGGTCTCTGACACCTTCAGATCCGATCTTTTGGAACATGCACCATAACAACCCACATAGCCTTTATTTAAATAGAATTATTGTCTCTGAAGAGGCTGTGGCCTTTTAAGGGAAAAGCTACAATACACGCACGTGCTTGTGAATATGTCACTGTAATAGTCACAGTAGAACTCTGTTGAGGACAAGTGTAAGGACGGGAAGCCGCCAAAGTCATAGGTGAAATCTAAATTTGGGGATTTGAGGGAGCCCTGGAACAAGCCAAGAGGCAGGAGCAAGTGGAACTGGGCAGAGCCCTCAGTGGCCCTGGTACCTGTCCATCCTCACAGGGCTTGTGACTGTGGTTAGAGTAGCTATTCACTTGGAAACAATGGCCGGCTGTATCTCTTTCTCCTTCTCTGCTCTCCCACTACCCACAGAAGAAGACAGAGCCGGGTGGTACAGGGTATATATGACCAGAAGAGTCAGAAGGAGGCCGGCAGGAGAAAGCTCAATCATGCTTATGTGTCCAGTTCAGCTTGGAGGCAGGGACAAGAGATGGTTACTGGAGGTAACCATTGATAAATTCAGAGAAGGAGGGTAGAGAGGAAGATCCAGGGTAGGAGTGAACGGAAGTAGGCAGCTTTTGAAAGACTGAGGAGGAAAAAGGCTGTGTGTGTGTGTGTGTGTGTGTGTGTGTGTGTGTGTGTGTGTGTGTGTACAGGCATATGCAGATATGCCTGTGTGAATGCACAAGAATGTACATGTAGAAGTCAGAGAATACTTCAGTTCCTCAATTTTTTTCTTTTCATTCTTTTTACGATCTCTCACTGTTGAAACACCCTCAATAGGTCAGCGTGGCTGGCCAGGGAGCTCAGGGATCTGCCCTTTCAGCCTTTCCAGCATCAGGGTCATAAGCCCATGGCCTTTCATGTTTTAATGTGGGTCCTTAGTCCCCTGTGCTTACACCTTAGAACCGAGCCGCCTCCCCTGCCCCGGCAGTGCCTTCCTTAGTGGTCAACACTTCAGGGACTTTGCAGAATCTTACTTGGGACATAAGAAATGCTGGGGTCTCTGCTGCTGGTGGGACTTTACCTGGGTTGGCTGTACCAGCAAGCTTTACAAAGAGGTGGCTTTCACGGAGCAAACAGGTTAGGGTGACAGGGAGGCAGCTTCGGCCCTTACCTGCCTATTTATGTTCCCAGCCTTCTTACTTAAGAATAGGCTGTCACTCTCGTGTCTGAGTTCCATGCAGCCTTCCTTCCTACCACACTTCAGCTCCTAGAATAGCACTCCGACACCTGTATGTCCACACTCTATCTCCTGAAGACCACAGACCTCTAGAACGTGAGACGAGTCTCGCTGCCCCTTTTCTCCACACACTTCAGTAGGTGTGGCACCCGAGGCATGCATCCAGCCATGATGTGTTTTTCACATAAGATGCAAGCAGCACCCCCCACCCCACCCCCCCATCCATCCACCTCCAGCAGTGCCTTCCATCACAGGACCGCAGAGCAGACACCAGCCTCTCAGTGTTTGGTTGGAAACGATACCTGAGAGAGCCTCTCAGCACTGTTGAGTCCCACAGCACAGCTTCAGGCAAACTGCAGGGCCTCCTTGCCTGGGACTGTCCATCTGGAAAACCAAGTGAAGACACCTGAGCACCCAGGGCTCTATAGAAGATGCTCTGCAGTTCAAGAGGGTCCACCTATTGGTGAAATAAATAAAAATGTTCCTTTTAATGACTTTCCTCAGTGTTCTCTCAACATCTGTCCAAAGTGCTAATTTAGAACTACTCCAAATGCATCCTCCAGATAAACGCCAGATTTCCAAAGTCTCAAGGTTACCTAACATCTAAGGATTGGAGTTTGGAAGTCGATGGGCAGTTCTGACCTCCACATGTCAGGAAAATGGGCATGTCCAACCTTTGGAGTCTGTGACATGATGTTATTGTCTACAAAATTCACCACACGAAAAAGTCACTAAAAAGTTTGCAAGAATAAAAATTAGCTCACAGTGTTCTAAGTAAGTTTACAATTCTGTGCTGAGTCATGTTCATAGCTATCCTTGGCTACACGCAGCTTTTGGGCTCCTGATTGGACAAGGCACAGATGGTCCTGAGGAGAGCCTGGCATTATCAATGCCTGGGCCCAGTACAGAAATGGTTTTCCTTCTTTCAGTAAGAAATTTCTCAGGATTCTGTTCTGTTCATCATGCTCTGCTCAGCTGAGGGGATCCTGCTCCAACCATGCAAGGAAAGTCTCCAGAGACACAGTGCTGTGGAAAGTACTTCTGTATATATGTGTATGTGTGTGTGGAGTATGTGTTTGTGGTGTGTATGTGTGTGTACATGCACATGAACACTTGTGTGTATATATATATGTGTGTTGTGTAGTGTGGTATGTAGGTATAGTATATGTGGTGTTTAGTGTGTGTGTAGTATGTGTGGTGTGTGTTCTGAGGGACATGAGTTCAAATCTCATCTCTTTCATTGTTCCATATGGTACTACCATCTTGAAAAAAATTCTAAAGAACACAGCTTTTTTCTCAGCTTTATCTTGTTCATTTGTCGTCTATGAAGGGAAAAGGACAGCGACTCTGAGCCACAGGTACAGTGCCACGAAGTGTGTGACACATATCCTGGAGATGTCTCAAAATTGATAGCAGAAGGGTTCTTTCTCTTTTCCCTGGGAACACCAGCTACAGAGGAGGATGGAGAGGCCTGAAGGCACAAGCTAGCAGCTCTCCATGTCAGAACACCAGGCCAAGGCCAGGCCGTGGGCTTGGCAGGGATTCAGCTTAGGAAAATGGAGGCATAAGAAGTTTTCACAATCCATTCTTCCAGGTGCCGTCCCCCTCAAAGTGGGGAGGTTGAATTATCTTATTACGGGAAATATACAAAGTGTCATTTTATTATCAGGGAAAAAAAGCAGGCATTGGATGAAGGTTTAACCATGAAGATGCAGCTTGTCGCTGCCACTGCCGCTTCCGGGAGCTCAGCAAGGGTCAGGCCTCGCCGTCTTTAATGAAACAAACAGGACTTGGTTCTTGTCACTAGGACAAGTGGAAGGGACTTGTTCCTCACCGTCCTGGAGACCTGGAGAAGTGTCCCCTGGATGGTGCAGGTCCTTGCTTCCGTGGTTATCTCCCTGACAGTATTTCTATTCAGTGCCTACTTCTTACGCATTGGTGTTAAACACACGGGGTAAAAGGTGTCGCTTCTTCACGGCTGTGACCAGAGAATCACACTATTCTAGATCGAAGCAGGATGTCAGAAATGAGATAACAGAGAAATCAAAGACCAGAAAAGCGTGGCAGCACTCCCACGGCACACAGCACGCTGCTGTCACAGGCCTGCGAGAGGCCACCTCCCGGGGAACACTCACTGTGGCCTAAAGCACTTCGAAGTTCCCTTCTTTACAGATGATACATGACACTACATTTTAATACAACTTTTTAGTCTAGGATTCAACCAATTGTGCTCCTGGCAGAGGTTTGTGTTCATATTTCGGGGAGAGTCTCTCCTTTGGAAAGTCATGATTAACAAAAAAGAACCTTTGGTAAGGCTTGCTACTGTCTCGTAAAAGGAAATCAGTTATGTTTCACTAAACTATATCAGTCCTGTTTTCCCTGAAGGGGACATGGGATCCCAGAGGACATGCTATGAGCCATGCAACCAGGGACATCTGCCGCACCAGCCATCCTCATCTCCCCCGGGCCTGTGTGGAGACAGATGGACAACCCGCCCCAACTGGGGACCCAGAGTCAGGGTCAAACAGGCACTGGTATCACAACTGAGCCTTAGTGCAGAGTCTCTCTCTCTCTCTCTCTCTCTCTCTCTCTCTCTCTTCCCCAGGGCCAATTACCCATAGGGCATCCATGAAAACCACCTGTGAATTTGAGAAAGGGAAACTCTGGGTACCAGCGACTCCCAGGCAGCACCAAGGGGCAGGAAAGCGTTCCCTCCTCTCTCACCTACCCCATCACTCCACCAACCCAAAGTCCAGAAGGATGGGAGGAGTTTTTCCACCTCCAACAACAAACTGACTGGGAGATGGAGCCGTGGTCAGCTCTGCGAGATGTGATGTTTAATACTGTCCTCTTGCTGCTGTTACTGAGCCCAGGCCTTGGCACTGCATTGGGAGTGGAAAGGGACAGGAATGAGACTGAGGGTGGGCCTCAAGGTCACCTCCAAACAGGAAGAATCCCATGTTCTCCTGTAATTTCGTGCACTCGGCTGTCATGGACAAGAGCCTTTTCAAGCCTCCTCCATTTCAGTGTGCAGATAAGAGGGCCAACCCAGGCCTCAGACTCCGGGCCTGGGCTCTTTGTTAGGACAACAATGACAACCTTCCCCATGGCCAGGAACAGTGTGAAAGGGCTAGTATCTTAGTTAGGGTGTCTATCTGTGACCAAACACCATGGCCAAAAGGCAAGTTAGGGAGGAAAGGGTTTATTTGACTTACACTTCCACATTTCTGTTTACTACTGAAGGAAATCAGGACAGGAACTCAAACAAGGCAGGAACCTGGAGGCAGGAGCTGATGCAGAGGCCACGGAGGGGTGCTGCTTACTGGCTTGCTTCCCATGGCTTGCTCTGCCTGCTTTCTTGTAGAACCCAGGACCACCAACCCAGGGATGGCACCACCCACCAAGGGCTGGGTCCTCCCCCCATCAATCAACAATTAAGAAAATGCCTTACAGCTGGATCTCATGGAGGCATTTCCTCAGCTGAGACTCCTTCCTCTCTGATGCGTCTAGCTTGTACCAAGTTGATACAACCAGCCAGTACAGCTAGGTCATCAGGCTTCAGCCTCTGAAGTATTCTGTCTCTGGAAACTGGTGTCAATCCTAAGGTCTATGAAAGCAGGGCGTGTGTGTGTGTGTGTGTGTGTGTGTGTGTGTGTGTGTGTGTGTGTTATGCAACTATGTGTGTGCATGTGGAGGTAAATGAGGATGGAGCGTGGCACGCTCCACTTTATTTATTCCCTTGAGACTGGGTCTCTCAGTGAACCTGTAGCTAGACCACCACAAAGCAAACCCCAGAAATGCTCCTGTTTCTGCACCCCACCCCCGACAAAAGCAACAGGAGTACAGGTACACATGGCCATGCCCACCTTTTCAAGCGTTTGTTGGGGATTTGAACTAAGATCCTCATACTTGCTCAGTGAGCACTCTTTTCCACAGAATTTCCCCAGCCAGGGCACATTTTCTCAGGCACCTCAGAGGCAGCACCCCATATCTGTGGCAGCTGGATTGGTATCCAGTTAAAACTAGATGCAAGCCTTCCTGGCAGAGGCGTATTCCTGGATTATGCTCAGAAAGGGTGGGTGTGTGGATGCAGGTGCTGCTGACAGGCAGTGTTGCTGGGCCTGGTGGGGGTAGCCGTAAGGAGGAGAAGAGCGAGCACCCAGCTCCCGGCAGCGGTGATGTGCCATGGCTGACAGGGACAGGCTTTATTATGTGATGAGTGGGGCCAGCCCCAGCATCTCGTCATTCTAACTTGTGTAAGTCAGCAAGCTTAATTGCTCCTTGTCCTCCCCAAGCTGACTTGCCACCAACAATCTCATTACCACACACATATGTTTATCTCACATTTCCCGGACCCTGGTGTGGAGGATGCAATGGGGGTGGGGGGGGGTGACGTCGTGTTAACCAACGGCACTGTTTGTGCTCTTCCTCTTCCCCTTCTCCAGTCTTGAGCCTCAGGAGCCCTGGAAACAGGAACGGTACCCAAGGTTGGGCCCTGGCTGAACAGGAAGAAGCCACAAGCTCTAGGCTCCAGGATGAACAGTGGCCTGAGCAAGAGGCACTCTGGCGGACCCACATCACAGGATAGTGGGGTCACGTGTCCACCACAGAATTCCTGGTGTCCATCCTTCCAGGTCTGTCTGAGACACTTGGTCATGGTCCCTTTTGCCACAACCTCAGCCTTCATGAGGAAAGTTGTGATTCGTACTCGGGCACAAATACTCAGCTGCCCTGAGAGAGGGAAAGGTGTGGTGCTGGGGTGGGAGATATTTAACAAGCCCCACTGTGCTTGAGGCCATGTGCAAAATGCTTGTTATACTTTCTTCCTTCAGACTCCAAACAGAGTGTTCAATCCATCAGTGTCCATTGAGAACATTAATGTGAAGGCTGGGGTGATACCTCAGTCTGGAGGTGCTCGACACACAAGTATTAGGAGCTGGTTTGATCCCCAGAACCTGTACAGAACCAGCATGTGGCATGTGCTTATAATTTCAGGTGCTCAGGAGGCAGAGACAGGAGGATTCCTGAGGCTTGCAGGCAAACACACACACACACACACACACACACACACACACACACACACACACACACACATACACACACACAGGAATACTAATATGAGCCACATTTAATAATACGATTAAATTTTTGTAGTAGACAATTAAAATGTTGAAATTAATTTTTCTAATTTTTTTTTTTAAAGACAGGGTTTCTTTGTGTAGCCCTGGCTGTCCTGGAGCTAGCTTTGTAGACCAGACTGGCCTCAAACTCACAGAGATCACCCTGCCTCTGCCTCCCAAGTGCTGGGATTAAAGGCATGGACCACCACTGCCTGGCTCTAATATTTTTCATATATTCCTATATATCAAAAATATTATCTTTCAACTTGTAATAGAGGCCTAGAAGTACTGGAAAACAACCACTTTAAATCAATAATATCAAACGCATTTCACATACAGTAAGGCAGGGCCTTATATCCAACAGTCTTGTACAGGAACTTCTTTGATTCACATCAATGTCTAAGAGGCAGGGATTATTATCATTGTCACTCCCATTTGGCAGACAGAGAAACTGAGGCACAGATCACTAAAGAAAACATGTCTGATACACCAAGTGGGTAAGATGGGCATCAGGGTCTACAGATTAGCCATTAGGTCTGAGGCCCCTGAAGGGTTGTGTGATATTTTGTTTGTGTTCTGACAAATAAAGCTTGTCTGGAGATCAGAGGGCAGAGCCAGCCACTAGATAACCATAGAAGCTGGGTGGTAGTGGCTCACACCTTTAATCCTAGTGCTTGAGAGGTGGAGACAGGAAATGATAAAGTGAAGTGGAGACAGGATCTCGGCCTTTTTGGTCTGAGGATCCAGAGAGGTAAGAAGTCACTGGTGACTGCTCCCCTGCTTCTCTGATCTTTCAGGTTATTACTTTGATATCTGACTCCTGGTTTTTATTGATAAAACTAATTAGATTTATATTTCATTGAAGACCTAGGGTAGAAAAGTGAATAAGGAGCATCTTCAGTCCATTCACTGGGGAAACCAAGGTCCAGAGAAGTCAAGTATATTCTCTAGTGTCACACAAACATGGCCTTTAAATCACATCTGTCTGACTGAGGAAGTGGGGGTGGGGAGTGGAAGATCTTCCAGTAGAGGGTTGGATGGTTTCTGGCAGTAGGGGAGTGGGTATAATTGACCTGAACTTTGTGCATCCCATGATGCACAGGAAACTCGTAACTGGGGGAACGGGCTCACAGAGGTCCCCACGGAGAGCCACACCTGCTCTGCTGGAACAGGCACGCAGCAGGAAGAAGTCTGAACAGTTTGCGGACAGACAGCAGGGCATCACCTGTAGACAGTTCAGGAATCTGTAGGCAATGGCTGCCCCCTTGCCCTTCAGGACATCTGCTCCCAGCCGATTGCCCATCACAGGGCTGCACCAGGAGAAGATCCACAAGCCACAAAAGCCACAGCGGCGTTGGAATTAGCCCTCGGGGAGAGAAGCGGTGGTCTGGTAGATGTAGACAGAGAGGAAGAACCCAGATGTGGTCTGGGAGAAGCTTCAGAAGCCCCCCACCTCTGGGTTGGGGGCATGTCCCACTAGGAGACCCACCTGGGCAGAGCTGCGTCCAGGGTCCCAGACTTGGGACCCCCCTCTTCCAGTGAGGAACTGAAGCAGCCGGCCCTTCTCACCTTCTCATTCCAAGTTTCCCTCCCTTCTCCTCTGCTTTATAAAGAGAGTCACAGCAGGAAGCACTCAATGCATCCCTATGCTAAGCGATCTACAGATTGGATTCAGACTGTTAAAACATTCTCTAACCCTAGGACTTCAGGTATTAACTATTCTTTTCACGTGGAGGAGAAACTATAAGTACACTTTCTGTTTATTGATTTTAAAAAAGTGTGTGAGATAGTGGTTGGATTTTCTACACAAAGACCATTTACCTTCTTTTGGTTGCACAACTCTCTTGGCATATTATTTATTACAAAGGAAAGTCATGCTGATAAGAAAATAGTGTCACTTAAAAATTAGGTGGTTCCCAATCAACTCATGACAGTAATTGCTGTAATGTCCTCTTTGATTTAGATATAGTAATATCAATGTAATTGCCACTGGGAAAAATTATAATGGCTGTTAATGATAACGAACACATAAATGGCAGTGAACAGGAACATGTATTTTACATCAGATTCAGCTGCAGAGCAATGGGAAGAAGCCCAGCGGTTTTCAAAGACCTGGCGCCAATCCCTCAAGGAGCTAAGCCCTCCATTATCACATTAAGTGAGGGGGTGGATGATTATGGGAGTGAGGGCAGTCCAGGGCCATCCCCAGCCTCCTGGACTACATGATTAAGTCTCTAGTCCACCATGAGGATATGGTAGGAAACACAAGAGAAGCCCATGGCCCTGGAGTTGCCAGGGCAACTTCGCCCAGAGCCTGTCCTGGGTTGTGAACTTTCACCTGGAGACTATGCCACATGACTCATGTGTTCCAGTGTGTTCAGCTTCTACTCCCAAGTCACTGGCTCTAAAAGCAAGAGTGAGAAGCCCGCTGAAGACCGTCTTTGTCTTACTGGCTGTGAACCCCAAATGAGCAAGCACAGATTTGGCTTTGTTATTGTCTGTCTGACCCGTGTGGAACAGGCCTGCCCCTACACAAGTAAGAACAGGGGCTGGGATGCACAATAGGCTCCAACAGTCCTGGGCATCACAATTCTCTGTGTGGCTGCTGGGCATCCCCGTTAAGGCCACTAGGAGCAATCCTAATGGTGGATATGAGTTTTTAAGGTGTCAGGTATCCTAGAGAAGGCCACGCCCATAAAGCCAAAGGCTCCATCTAATTGGTCATTGGGCCAAATGACAGAATTCCCACAACGTGGCCCTCAAGAAGACGCATTGATACCATGCTTAGGAAGTCCCATGCAACAACAGTAACAACAGCTACAATCCACTTGGTGTTGGGATAGAACAGAATATTACATGCTGTATTCATGTCATCACAGTGTTGCAGATTGCTGATCATCCCATTTTACAATCTGAAGCAGATAGGCACAACGAAGCTGAGAAGCTTGCCCAAAATCACACAGCCAGTGGTAAAGCCCACTCCCATTCAACATGACATTTGTGTGCATAGTTGGTGGGGGCGTTGCTTAAGGACCTTGGCCAACGTCATTCATAGAGTCCTCCAACTTCATGACATATGATCCCGGGAAACTTTATGGAAACAAAGAGTCTTTGAAATTCTGTATAGTGATGTGGATCTAATACTACCTATAACCTACTGAACTCAGTTGAAAGGATTAGATAAGACTCTTTTTAGAATTGAAAATTGGGGGCTGCAGAGATGGCCTGGCAGTGAAGAGTGCTTTTCGGGTAGACCTGAGTCCCATCACTCATATCAGGGATTCACAGTTGTCTGTAACTCCAATTCCTGGGGATCTGATGCCTTCTGGCTTCCACGGGATCCTGCATACATATGGTCCACATAAAGTCTCTCTCTGTCTCTGTCTCTGTCTCTGTCTCTGTCTCTCTCTGTCTCTCTCTCTCTGTCTCTCTGTCTCTCTCTCTCTCTGTCTCTCTCTCTCTCACACACACACACACCACAAATAAATAAATACAAAATATTAATAGCTGACCAAAATGACTTTAAACCCTACTCGGTTCAAATCAAAGAGGGCACGGAGGGCTGGAGAAATGGCTCAGGGCTAAGAGCGTTTGCTGCTTTTGAAGAGGACCTGAGTTCAGTTCCCAGCGCTCACATGGTAGTTTACAACTTCTGTGACTCCATTTCCAGGTCTCCATGGGCACTGTGCCCATGTGGTGCAAACGTACATGCAGGCACATACTCATACATATAAAATAACAACGCCTTTTAAAAAGAAACAACCTTTAAAAAAAACATATAGCAACATAAAGACACAAGGGATATTTAAGGTACTTCTCCTGGAAGGGACAGCCACAGCTAATTTGCCTGAGCCTCACTTCCTACAGATTCCTGGAGCCTGAGGTGAATACCCTTGATATCAAACACAGAAGAGGACTTAGCCAGTTTTCTGTTACTGTAAGCAACATTCAAGATTAACTTTAATGGAGGGAAGATTTAAACTCCAGATTTCAGAGGTCTCGTCCTGTGATCAGCTAGCTCCATTGCTGTGAGCTCGTGCTGAGGTGGAGCATCTTGGTGGGGCCTGATTGGGTGACTTTTCTGTTCTCTGTGATCAAATCCCTGACAGAAAGTGATTCGTGGGAGGCAGGATGTGTTCCGACTCACACCTTGATAGGATGCAGACCATCGGGGACACAAGGTGGAGCATGGAGGTGGGAGCATGTGCATGGAACCCCACCTCACACCTCAGTGGACCAGGAAGACAAGCAATGGAAATAGGAATTTCTCCCTTTTCCCTTTTATTTGTTCAGTGTGGTCTCTTGGCCTTGAGATGGCATCACTTACGTTCAAAATGGGTCTTTCTGTCTTCAATTAAACCTGTCCAGAATCACCCCGAAAACAAAATCCTGAATGGTATATCTCCTATTTTAAATCTTGTCAAACAGACAATGATTAACCATCACCTGTATTACCTTACCACAGGCTTAAAGTTGAGCAGCCCATGGCACTGGGTGGTTGTAGGCTTTTGCTGTTGACCTGTGGCTTGCAGAAGCCAACTAAAAGATTCCCATTTCAACAGTGTTCTCGCTTCCTGGCTGGGGCCAAGGGCATGCATGCTGCTGATCTTCCTGCATCAGCTTCTTCCAGCTGGGGTCACAGTAGACCACAGTTGCTAGCCTCCTTTGGAATTAGGTTGGCTGTGCGGTTGATCTTCAGACACAGCACTGAGCAGAAGTATTATGTCTTCTTCCAGGCAGATTGTGTGGCCCTCCACCATGTACTTCCCTTTCTGTTCCTCTCCCAGCTCAAGGCAGTACACTCCCAAGTCCCTCCAGAATCTCAGGATTCCAGTATCCCAGAAGGCCATATGCCGTACCTCATCAGCATTACCTGCTTTTCCTGGTGTGTGAGGGAAAGCCTCCTCCTTGTGTCCAACTGGAGAAATGTAGGGTTTATCTGTTCTAGCAACTGCAGTTACCCCAATGCCTATGGATGAACACACAATTCAAGCATTACATAAAAATGGACAGGTGGAATATTCTTTCACAAAATGGTCAAGGAGCTGGTATGCTCCATTACATGTATGGATTGCCTTCCAAACAAATATGTGTCTCTGAGGAAAGCATACTGGCTTTGTGGGCTCCTTTAGTAATGACTTCCACATGAGATTTCTAAAACTGAAGTCCATGGTCTACAACAAATCCCGGACACCCAAATAGAAATCACAGTCCACAGTTCTGGAAGGTGAGAAGTCCAAGAACACGGTGCTGGTAATTGCTCGCCATCCTGTGAAGACCTAGGTCTGCATCACAAAGGGTTTGAGGCATCACGTGGTGCGAAGATTAGACTAGCAGCTCCAGCTGTCCCTTCTGTTCCTCCGAAAATACTGTTGTCATAATGGGAGCCCCAACTCCACGGCCTCATCTCACTCCACTTGACCCCCACCCTAAGGCTTTTAAGTTTTCAACACACGAGCTTGGAGGAGAAGCCCCTGGCTGTGACTTAGCACCACACCCAGAGCTGTTTCTTAGCCCTCTGCTTCCCTCACCTCCAGGCTCCAACGAACTGTTGGGCTCACGTTTTATTATTATTATTATTATTATTATTGTTGTTGTTGTTATTTTATGTGTGTGACCTTTTGCCTATATGTATGTCTGTACACCACATGAGTCCAGTGCCATCTGAGGCCAGAAGAGGGCATCAGATCTTCTGGAACTGGAGTTACAGATGGTTGTGAGTTGCCTTTGGTTGGGGGGACTTGAACCCAGGTCTTCTGGAGGAGCAGCCAGTGTCCTTTACCCCTGAGCCATCTCCCCAGCC